AAATAAAACTCGCTTCTACAAATTGGTAAATGAACCAAATTAAAAATCAAGCAAAACATTACTGCAAACATAAACCAATCCAAATAGGATTGTTATTTGTCTAAACTCCTTTCCTCGCTTAGGCATTTCTGTTCAATCAAAAAGGTTAGTAGGTCAAATTTTATTGCAATCCCAAATTTTATTCATTTGGATATGTATTTTCTTTTTCCATTCCCTTGCCCATAGGTATTCTTGTAAAGTAAGTTCGCAGAAAACCACTACAAAATACAAAGCAAATACTTGGAAAAAAATGTAAAGCAATAAAGTTATTTCAACTCTCTAGTAGTATATTGAATAGCAAAATTAGATAATGAATTAAAATACTATACAAGTTACAAAGCCTTATAACTCCTAAATAATTAAATTAAATTACTAGGCAAGAGTTGCATATGAATTTAATTCACAATAAGCATGCAAATAACTCCAGCAATTAAAATCATGCAAATGTTCTAGAAAACATGCAAATAAATATAGACAAGTTACAAAGCCTTTATAACTCCAAAATCTTAAATTAAAATTTAATAGGTAGGAATTATGTGAAATTGTTACAAAGCAATAACCACGTAAATAATTTTAGCAATTAACATGCACATAAGAAATTAAATCATGTAAGAAAATTAAAATCTATAAGATAATTTACATGCCAAAAATTGCATAATCACGGAAATTATGTTATTAGATCTAGAAATAAAGTATTCAAATGAACTGAACAATTAAAATCATAACATTGCATAATTTACAATCATAAAAAAACAATGGGCAACGAAACAATGTACAAAACAGTGAGTAAATCTAGGCATGTATATAACTAGCATGTATATATGTTTCTTTGTTTATTTATTATTGTAATTCTAATCATGCAATAGTAGTAATATAGTCCAACCACGAAACAGTGAGCTTTTATTATTCAAAGATTCTAACATAATGGTAGGAATGTATGCAGAGGCATGCGATTAAATCATGAATTCAAACAGTGGCCATTAATCTTGTAGAAATTTGCTATGACACATAACCAATACAAAAACATTTTTCTCCTGTTAATAGATACAAGTAGTGTGATTTATTAAAATTAAAGATGAATTCCCTTATCATATTGAAACAGTGATCTAGACACAACATGCTATTTAGTCACAGAAACCAAAACCAATTAATCTTATACATGAATCTGAATTATTCTAAATTACTAGATGAATCGAATTGTTCAATTTTATGGTAAATACATATAATCTATTTTAAGCTTGTTGTACAAATTGCGTGATTAAACAAAACAAATAAATTTATATTTGATAAATTAAATTATAGAACATCAAATAAATCCATATTTGATAAATTACATTGTAGAACATGAAACAGAAATATATATCACATAATCTATTGAAAGATGAGGAATCAAACCAAAGCCTGTGTGGTACCACAGTCTCTTTAAAACAGATTAGCCGCCTTATCGTGGGTGCTGGAGGTACGGAACTTCTGTCTACTAGGATATGACGGTTTAGATCGGCTAAAGCAGAAGCAACTTATGTTAACTTTGGCGAACTGACAATGGCAGCACTCTCTCACAGAAGAAGAAAATTATAGGAGCAAACAAACTGACTGTACAATTCTGGAACGCAAAAATCTGTATTGCCAACTAAAGAGGTTGTTCTCTATTTATACACCATGGGGGAGAGAGGAGGAGCCTCCAGCCATGAAGGCTAGCAACCAATGCCCATTACTCCTGCAAAATTGCTAAAGTAATGCACAAAATTGATGAGATTTCAATGTGTGAGTTACACACACTATACAAGCCTCAATCCCAAGTCCCAAGGACCTAGACCTGGTCTTGGCGGGCGGCTGGCGCGTGACAATTTTGCCATAACCAACTTGGATCATAATCTTGGCCCAAACCCATCCTTGAAGCATCCATAACTCCCTTGCTTCGGAAAATTTGGAAGCCCCAAAGGGCTCATGCCTATCAAAATCTTGAGGTTTAAATACCCATAAAAGATTTCCTCTATAATCAATGTGGGATTGATAGTTATACACAATTCCCAATACCTCATTCATGAGATCAACTTTATAAGACAATTTCTCATTCAATTCTTAATGGTTTTTAGTAATTCTTTTTATGGGGGTAAAGACCTTGTTACAAAGAATTTAAACTCATTTAATCCCACCTCAACCAATGGTTGATACCTACTTTAACTTCTCATTAAAGTCACCAAAAAATTATTTTTTTTCCCAACAAATTCTATATTTTGACCAATTAGTATAAAAAATTGCATCAATAACAAGAAAACTTAAAGAAACAGAAACATTAATGAACTAAAGTATAAAATATTCCAAAAACTCTATGAAGCTTACTCACAATTACTTGGGCCAGCATGTAATCCTCATTACTACTATAAGAATACAATTCTTATTGCCTCAACTCCTTATTTGAGCGTTCACTTGCCCTCAGTCCTCTTAACGTCAAACATATCACACCTGACTATCTTTTCATTAGCATGTTTAGAAAAAGATTCACAAAATGTTCACTGTATCATACATCAGAGAGAATGATGAAAGGAATTATCATTTAGGACATAAATAAATGTCTAATGCACATTAGAAGGAAATACAAGCAGGTTGACTAGGAGGTTTCTGCATTGTTAACAAGTACCTGACACATCATAAAGCCAAAATAAGTAAGGAAAAATCTGTTCTTCAACACATTAGTATCGTATTTTTCAAGACGTTGGTTGTTACAACTAATATGTATGAAGGCTGCTATATATGAACAGATAAATTTCACCTTTTTTATTCCAAGTGGCAAACATGGGTTGCTGAAACCTATTTTGCCTATGCCAAAAATGTAATATTGGATCATGATCTCTAGTGAGGATTTCAAAAAACAAGTCTAGTAGTAGAATCAATTTCAATGATGCTTTGCTCAAAGTCATGAGAAATTTATTATTGGATAAACTGCCAATAGGTCCTAATAGTTGAACTTAATTCTCATCACGCCCTATTGAAAATAAGTCATAGTAAAATCGTCATTAAAAATAATTTTTTGTAACAATTTTTTTTGCATATGTTGCTAAAAATTGACGATTAATGACTTTTTTTGTCACGATTTTTATAAGTTGTAGCTAAAACTTATAATTAGTGACGTTTTTCTATGACGAATTTTCAAACTGTAGCTGAAAATTAAAAATTAATAACTTTTTTTTGTGATATTTTTTAAAATTGTTGTTAAAACTTATAATCAGTGATATTTTTTGTGGCAAAATTTTCAAATTGTAGCTGAAATTAATAATTAGTAATGTTTTTTAATAGTAATTGATGAAAAATATCATTAATTCTCATAAAACCTATTGAACAATAAGTCCACATAGTAGGACCTACGCGTAAGTTCCTGTTATTATTGGAACTCTAGTTATAGGAGATGTCACCATTACAAAGGCAACCGTTAAGATTGAAAAATTATTTTATGGGGCCCAAAAATAATATTTCTATTTGACGTTCTATGAAGAAATAAAAACAAAAAACTACATGTATACCATTTGGGGTCCCCTAGCATGCCAAAATAAGATTTTGACATTGCCAAAATGTTCTTACTTCAACATATCTTCTGTAAAGCAAGCTTTGATGCCTTGTATTCTTTTGTGACCTGTCTAATAGCTCTATAAAGGGCAAAAGGGTTAGTGACATCTCCATTGATGAGGAGTGATAGATTGGAAGTGGTTACACGGGAGAGGATTCATTTAATCCAAGGCGGGGGGAGGCAAAAAATGAAAGGGTGTCCTTTCTGAAGTTCCATTCCATTCTGTCAAAAGCTTTCTCGAGGTCAAGCTTAATGGGCATGCATGGGGTTTTGGAGTTCTTTTTGTTAGCCGTTGATCTTATTAGCCCTTTGATTTATTGGCTGCAAAAAAATAAAAAATAAAAAATCCTCCCAGTAATCTGGCTCATCATTTGAGCTTACTTGTTGCCAAAAAGTACCAAATTATAGCAGCGCATGAACAAAAAGTTCAGAGATTTCAAAGACCTCCATCGCAGTGATTAGCTTTATGATTCTAAGCATTGTGTTCTTCACCAACCTTCAAAAGCCTTCAAAATCTTACCAATAATCCCCACAAGAACACAACCCATCCTTGAAATGGTGAAATCTATTATTGTCCCTAACAATTATCTCTCTCCCAACAACCTTGGACATAAACTTGATTGCAGAATGGCAGTCCACACATATGCACAAATTTTTCTTCAGGCTTCCCAACTGGCTTATAAGTGCAAATGCAATAGCTATCCTTTCATTGTGATGATGATGAACCTTCTCCTTTGTATTATTGTCCACGTCCAGTGGGATATAATTTGTGAAAGCAACATTTCCAGCTCTCTTGATCTGATCAAGAAGACTATCAAGTTTCTCCTAAATTTCTTTCTTTTTTGGGCGAGACAAATCCTCAGCACCAAAAACATGGGTTTTATTACTGATGTCTACCCAACTATACCCGGGCAATTTCTTCACATTCCCTTCTCTCATCATCTGTTTTTGAGCTTTTATAATATGATTATATATATATATATATATATATATCAACAATGCTGCTTCCCTTTAAAGCTAGAGCTCTAATTGAGCTCTAGTGAGGTGGAAAAAAAAAAAAAATCACATCAGATGGGCTCCACATACACATTAGTTCTATTAGAACTCGCAAATTAGAACTCCAAAACATTTTTGATATATATATATATATATAGAGAGAGAGAGAGAGAGAGAGAGAGAGAATAGAATCAAAACGAAACATAATTGCAACCAACCGGTTGGAGCAAAACAAGTATGTTGATTCGAAGTCAAAATTTTCGGTAGATTTTTATTATGTGCTTGTCATTATTAGGATGTCAAATGATTCTAACATATCCAAAACAATTTACGTTACTCCTATGTTCAATTATTGACAGAAATTAAATAATCCAAAAGAAAAGTAAAAACAGAGCACATGTTAATAAAAATTGTATTATCTATACCCAAAAGAAAGGTAAAAACAGAGCAAATGTTAATAAAAATTATATTATCTATACCCAAAAGAAAGGTAAAAACATAGCAAATGTTAAAAAAATTTAGATTATCTATACCCAAAGAAACAAGGCATATCCAAACCCACCAGAAAGAAAGATAGAGGAGGATCCGGATGGTTATCTGTACACACACAGATGACCAGTTATCTGTACAAAATGAAGCTACCAAAAATCAAATACCCAAAACCCATTTTCTAACTATCTGTTAAGCCTTTACCAGATCTGAGCTTCTAAAAAAAAAAAAAATTTGAACAGAGACGATCCCAACTGCAGCAACGAAAGCAAGAAAACATGGAAGGCTTTCAAAGACAAGATTTGTCTTTGGCGACTCCACCACGGACTGTCGTCTCCGACCACCACCACGAGCACCACTTTCCATTCAATCACTAACTCCAACACAAATTCAATAAAATAATTAATTATTAAAAAACTATAGTACAGAATTTGTCAGGACTATATATGAAAGGGACGAACGATGAGAACACAAATTACAAACTAGAAAATACCAAAAAAAATTGATATAAAATTTTCTTGCAAAATTTCGCACTTTTTAGGTTGTTGCAAGGAGATTTCTCTAAACGCATGAAAAAAATTGGAGAAAACAAGCTCGGGAAAATCTACACTTTCTCTAGAAAATCCAAGAACCAGAAGTAAAATTCAATGTAAAAAACTCCAGATCTGCGAAGTTGAGGATGAAGATGGAAAATTTCTGAAAATTGTTATTAATAGAAGATAAACAAATAAAATGAAAATAAGAATATCATCAAAACAAATTCAACCCAAATTGATTCTACTTAATACAATTACACACACTACCCTTCATAGCTCAAATTCTAAGAATCGGTTTGGTTGCTAGTAAACAGTAGGAAAAATGAGAAGGGGCGCACACTAAAAGACTCTAATAACGTCCCCCCATGTTTCATTCTCTAAAATTTTCTCGACAACCAAACAAAGGTTGATTGTTTGATGGGAAAATATAGTATGTACCTTCTTTTTCTTGGAAAATGGTACCAGAAGCTCGGGTTGTTCTGGCGAGAAGAAAAGGTGATGACTTGACGAGAGGAGGGGTGACATGGCATGATTAGATCGTGGGTTGATTGACGATGACGAACTCTATATGTAGATTAGAGTTGTGCAACGCCGGAATACGAGGATCAACGAAGTTAGATTGGGGACTCACTGCAGCTCGGGAAGCCATCGGCGGTGAAGATGGTAGAGAGATCTCGCCGGAACAACCAGATCTGACTCCAAATACCTACAAATCTGCGATTCACGCATCGATGATCGCGTTCGCTGCCGCAAACTCGCCTCATCGACTTCTACCTGAGTCGAATCGAGGACGATGAACACCAGAGGCAATACCCCCGCCGGAGAGAAATGATGGAGGTTGGAGGAGGCGACAGCTATTGTGATGTGCTCGATGGACAGACGACGATGAAGGGGAGAGAGAGAGAGAGATCGCCATTGAGGAGATTGATGTAGGAGGGAGCGGTGAGAGAGAGACGACAGAGAGAGACAAAAAATGGTTCGGTTAGAGCATCTCCAATGGTTCACCAAAAATTTCATCAAATCTGAATAAAAGAAAAGTCAAATTTCTCAATCTGATATCAGCCACTCCAATGGTGAGTACTGTAGCTTTCAAAACACACTAGACGTCCAGGGGATGACCGGCCAGTCGACCGGAAAGAGGAACAACAAGAGCTTCATCATCTCAACCTCTCTGCTCATATTCTCCATGTCCACAGCAGTTCTCAGCTTACTCTTGGATATGGATTTGCAAGCGAATTTTTCACCTGTTTCCACATTAGTGGCTAGATATGTGATCCGAAATTCATCTCTCCCGAGCTCGCGACCCAGATAGTATCGTAGCAAAATGTCGTAGAAGAGCAGCAAAGCGAAATAAGCGAAAGGACAATGGAATTAAGCTAAAATTTAAGAAAATATATGTCAGGTCATTCTACAAATTTTAAATTTTATGGGATTTGAATAAAGGAAAAAAGAATAATATATATATATATATATAAGGGCTAAAAATAAGGGAATGAAATTGCAATTGGGGGTTATGGACATGACTTTCTTTCCATAAAGGATTAGATTAAATAAAGGAGAAGTGTCTATGAAAGAAATTTCCAAAACTTCGGATGATTTTTAATATTTTTCGAAAGAACAAGAAAATGTTTGCAAAAGAGCACAATTTTTTATTTTTTTTTCCAAGAACAATGCCTATGAATTTTTTTTTCCTGTATTCCTTCTTTGGGATGATAAGTGAAAATCTAAAGAAGACCCGAATTGGTTTGAAGGTCAAGAGCTTAAATTAATGAAAAAAATGAAAGGGTTGTTGTGATTTAGAAAACAAGAGCTTGATTGTTTGGAAGATCTTGGAATTACCCCGGTAGAGAAAAGAGTGGAAAATCACAAGAGAGAGAAGATGAAGGCGATTAGCTAGAGGCCTCCCACGAGCATTGGCAAAAAAGGCAGGGCAAAAAAAAAGAGGCCGAGGTGGCCGATTGTGGTCGATTGGTCAATGTAAAATTTTTACAAATTATGCCTTGAGGTAGTCATCCGGGAGGACATCCGGCCGGACATCCGTCAATGGCAATAAACAGTGATTTGATGTAAGGCATATTTATTCTTACTTTGATGAAAGAAAAGTGAAATTCTCAATTTGATACCTACTTGATGCAATTGTTGGAATATGAAAAGATTTCATTTTTCATCAAATTTGGATTTGATGAAATGTTTGAGTAACCATTGGAGATGGTTTTAGTAGGTTAAAATTTTTATGTTTGAAAAGATGGTTAGATTTTTTTATAGTTGGATGTGATGTTTGTAAAAAAAAATGAAATGATTATGATTTTAATGCGACATTTTATCTTATTGATTATTTTAATTAATTTATTTATTTATGAATTTTAACCAAAAAATTTAAAAATTCACTTGCCAAACAGGGTCTTTATTGATTGTTTTAGTGAAATAATGTTATTCCCACACATTTATTTATCTCGGTGCACATCATTCCTTAGTGCATACACTTAATAATTTGATTATTAATTGTTGTTCTCATTTCACACACTAAATGTTTCAGTCATACCTTTAACTCGTGTCTTGTACACACCCCACCTCAACCATCTTGCCACACACTTTCACATTAATCTAGCTCCCTTCATGGAGTCGATAAGCAATTCATCCAAGGCCAAATCGTTGGAATCAATCCATGGTCAAGAGTAAACTCTGATCAAAGAGGAAATTGAAGCTCTAATGAATAATAGCTTTGAACCCAAAAGAATTCTATCTCTATTATCTTCATTAACCTCTGTCATCGAACTCATCTTTCCATTTTCCAAACAAACCCTAGTATTTCAATTTGCGTGTTGATTAGTTGGATGAAATCTCGTTTGGGTCTTTGTTATTAAGATGTTCAATTTGTGTTTTCGCTTCATCATGGTAACGATTTGGTAGTAAACAAACATACTGGGAATGACGAAAGAAAGCAACAAATGGAGAGTGGCTGTGGAGATAGAGAAGATGAGGGGTTTGATCCACCATAAAAGTTGGGATAAGATTGAGATTAAGGACTGCAATATATAATTTTTAAGGATTAGTTTATAAGAGTCTATTGTAGAATGTTGGATTTAGCCAATTAAAAAAGGGTTTTTTTCTATATAAAAAAAGAAAAGAAAAAAGAAGAGAGTTTAATATGTAATGAAAATTCTTTCACACAACCAAGAATTTTTAATTATTTTATAATGCTTTTATTTCAATTGGATGTATAAATATGTGATCTTAATTTGTTTAGTTGACTAGAAAATTGATGTTAAGAAGAAAGAAAAAAAGATCATAAAAATCGTCTAATCTACTTTGTTTCTTGTTGTTTTTGTCTAAAGTGAAGGAATTAGGATTTAATTTTTTTATTAAAAGATATATAGTTAAATTTTTTTAAGAAAAAATATTTTTAGGGGATATTTTTTTTGTAATATTATGAGTGTATTTTAATATCTATTATGATAATTTTACTTTAAAGTATAGTTCTTATTAAGATAATAATTTATTAAATATGCATTTTTAAATATAAAATAGAATTTTTCGTGAAATAGCCTCTAAGCCAAATAACTAACTCCCAAGTCACTGTTGGTGTGGAAATGACAAATAAGGACCCTTTAGATTGAGGTTTAAATAAAAAAAAAAAAAAATTTTAAAAAAGAGCCAAAATACTAACTTTTAACCAACTTCTAAAACCAACCCAATATTCCAACGCAATTTTGTGCTACAATAGAATTGGTTATCAGCTTTACATAAAACCATTTGTACCTATATAATTGTTTTCACCCAATTTCCCCAATTGCCTGCAATTCTGTTTTGCTCTTTAATTTTAAAATAGGTTTGGTTGAACATAAAATTTTCCAAATTTTGCATGCAAAGTTGAAGAATTTCTTAGTTATTATGCCTTCATCCCAAATTTGTTAAAAATAATGAAAATTACCCGAAAAGTTTGTTTAATTGTTTCCAACCAAATAGAAATTAAGAAGCATTCACCATAGGGTGTGGGCGGGAAAGTAGATGTCATTGGAAGCTCAGTTATGTTTGAGCAAAACAGTGGAATGGTTTTGATTTATTATGAATTTTTTTAACAGTAGCAAATAATTTTGTGTCGAGCTATGTAAAATTTTGATGTGACTTTTGAATCAGTTTGTTAGGTTTGAATTTTCAGGATTTAATTTTGAATTTTTTTTTTGTGTATTTTTTATTTTTATTGAATTTTTTTTAATATGGTTTTTATTAATTTTTTGAAATTTAAGTTTTTTTTTATTGAATTTTTTTTAATATTCTAAATAATTTTTTAAATTTTTACATACATTTAACATAAATAAATTTAAAAAATATAATATTTGTGAATTTTTTTTAGAAAATTCACTAAATATCAAACATATAAAAAAAATAGAATTCAATACATTTTTCGTTTTATACATTTATTGATTTTTTAAAATATTTTTTTTACGAATATTTTAATATTTAGATACCTCTAAGTAAGGTACATATAAAAAAATAAAAATTGATTATAATTTTTGAAATAGTCACTAAAAATAAGCAAAAAAAAAAATTCAATTTCAAAAAAATTAAATTCAAAATATTGAAATCAAACATACTGCTTATATTGCAAGGTCTTGAACCATCATAACCACCCCCAAAAAATAAAATAAAATAAAATTCTGCTGCTGAATTCGATTCTAAAAATGAAAGAAATTCAAAGCAATTTTGTGGCGCAGCAGAGTTAATTATGAATTATGAACTATTCGAAGTTACAATTATTATATATAATATTAGTCACTCAATTTCTCTAATTTTTCTCTCTTTAATTCTGTTTTGATCTTCCAAGCTGATAAAGACAATATATTAAAAATCCAAGAATCTTCCAAAAATTTATGTAAGTTAAATATACAAGGTAAATTACATTCAACTCTGTTCATAGTTGACAAAAATATATAATTAGTCATCCTACATTTTTTATATAATCACACCAAACTTCCTTCAGTTTTGATTCACATACTATTTAAATAATTTTTTATTAGTGATTCATGAGTTGTATGAATGAAAAGATGACGTTATTATCTCTTTCATATTCAAATGTATATTAACCTCTGTTTATTTTAGTGTCCGCCTACCATTTGAATTCTTTTTGATTGGTTTGACCTAACTAAAAGGGTCAATATAATTATGCTAGACTTTTGGGGCTAACTATATTTTTCTTAAACCTCAGATGATGTGTGTAATTTATCCAATATACAAATAATGGGACATATAATGAAAAAAAAAATTTAGTCAAACCTCAGATGATGTGTGTAATTAATTGTTTTATTTATATTTTAGTCAAAAAAAAAATTTGATACATCTAATCTAAATATATTTAAAAAGTAAAATATTTTTGAATAAATCTAAAATGAATCCAATAAATACAAAAAAAAAAAAAAATGTAATGAATTTTTGTATTCAGTGATTTTTTTTTTTTTGTACACAATTTAAATTTTTAAGTATATCTAAAAAGTATTTAAAAAAAATGTATTACAATATTAAAAAAATCATTAAAAATCAAAAAATAAACTGTCAGGACAATTTGGCCTATTAGTTTGTATAATACCATTCTATGGTGTAAGGTTGCTAATTCAACTCTTCCAGATAGAAGTTTAATTTTTATGGTGTTTACTTCTTTCCCATTATAAAAGTTGTATGCCGCAATTGGACTCAGCCTTTGATGATTGTTTTGATATAATATTTATTTATTTATAATTATTTTTCCTTTCTACTGACCAAAAAAAATTATATTATATTTATTATAGTGAAATTGATATGAAATCTAATTAATGAAATAAAGGAATCATACAAGGGTTATTAATTTGGCACATTTTCGGATGAAATCATGTGCCCCTCATATGCACATGTTTAGATCCAACGAATTCCTTGTGTCTTTCAATTAAAAAAATTTAATAGATGATCTTTTTTAGATCACTAGGAATATTATTTTAGACAAATAACGATAAATAATTGGGAGCTGTTAAGATGTGCAACTTATTAAATAGTGCACATTATGTGCACATTGATTTTAAACCATTAAATATTTACAAATTAATCTCAACCATTAAATAATTTAATTGGAAATATTGTATACCACTCCAACCGGTTACAATTTTCTTTACAGATTGTTTTATGTTCCACAAACCCTCTTCACTGTTTGCCCAAAACGCTTCTGTTCTTCAGACACGACTCCGAAGCTATTCTTCGCCATCGAAGACTATCCCGCGAACACAACCTGCCCTCAACTTCGCCTCAAGGTACCCCTCTCTCTCTCTCTCTCTCTCTCTCTCTCTCTGCAACTTGTTTCTCTCCCTTTCTCCATCTCCATTCTATGAAACCCTAGATGGAAATCCCCTTCTTCAAAACTGCCCCTTTTGCCTGAACTCACTGGGTTGCTTTATAAAATTAGGAAAATATGATTTGAATAGGTTTAGGTTTTTTATCTTTGTTTGCTTTGATAGTTGTTTTGATTCCATATATATATGTATACAGACTTGAAATTTGGCTTGAGTGTGTGAAATCTAATGCGTGGATAATTGAATTTTGTACTCATGTAACTGACATGAGACTGTAATGTTTTATTTGTTAATTGAAATCTGTTTATGTTTCTAACAATTACTCTTGTGGTGGCTTGATTTTCCTATGAGAAAGAAAATTAAAGTGGATTGGATGTATTACCTTTAGCAATTTTTTGGGAATTGTGGAAAGTGAGAAACGAATGGATATTTTGATGTTATTGTGATATTTTGTTATTGATATATTATGACAAAATTATTTTGTTATTTATATAAATACACCATATATATACATTATATTTTTATGTTTCAATGCTAAATTACTAAGTATCAGAAAGTGGTTGGATGGCAGAAAGTGTTTCACTATATAGTCTATTGGCTTCACATGACTATGTCATCTTGGTGCCTATGCACAAGCTGCTCAATCTACTGTCGTAGTTCTCTTTAACCACCTGAAGAACAGCTGTCCCTTTGCTCTCATCCGAAGTTGTACCTTATCTTGACTCTTGTCTTGTTTCTGTTGCATTCAATGATCTAGCGTTAACATGCCCTTTCAACTCATCTTTCACAAGAACATCTATATTCATAGCTCCATTTTCAACTCATCGTTTACAAGATAAAATTTGCATTATGGGGATGCTTAATTTGAAGTAACCGTTAGAACTTGAGCATTCCTTTTCTGATACAAAATATAAGAACTTGATCCTTATTCTTCACACTACAAATTTAGCAGGTTGTGGACCCAAAAGAAAAGGAAATAGCAATTGTCACGCATAGTGGATTCTTGTTCCATGTGCAGTTGGCAATGATTGTCACCCTTTGATTAAAAAAGAAATTTCCAAGCAGTAAGTGCCCACGAAGCTTCTTTTAGCTGTGATTTTGGTAATCTTCGGAAACGAACCTGTAGTTTGCAAGATTGTCTTCTTTTCGTGTGGGTGGTGAAAATCTTTTTATTTTTAGGGGTGGGTGATTATCATTTGAACCTATAAGTTCATTCAAAAATTACCCCTGAGATGGTTAATATTTTTCATTTTGCTTTTATTGTATAAATAACATGGATATTATTAATTTTTTAGCTTGAAATGCAGCCAAAAAGAGAAATAAAAACAAAATGTCCATAGCTATAATTGTCCTTTTGGTGGAAATATAAAACTATGTTTACTTTTCTTTCCATACACATTTATTCACACACACTTCTATAGTTGCTTCACCGAATGACATTTGCAACATGTTTTTGTAGTTTTGCAAATTGTGAGCTTCACTCTATGGTCATTGTGGACAAAAGGTAAACTTTTTCATTCCGTTGCCTATGAATTCCTCTTAATTGTCAGTTTTCTTATTTGTGATTCTCATCTATCCTGCAGCATGTCAGAATCAGATCCCCCAACAACTAATTATCCAGGGAAGATTCCTCCCGACCACGATGCCCCTAGCGATGTTGTGGATGAGAAGAACTGAAGAAAGACATCCCCAATTCCTGATTTGCAGGGATAAAGAACTTCCAATTCATTAGCTTTAGAGGTATTGCTATATTGAACTGAATGACCCCAACATGACAATGGAACAACATTCCTAAAACACTTGCTCATAGAACTTGATATAATGTATGTCATTCTGGATTTAAAAGATTCAACAAGTTTGATAAAAATAAAAAATAATTTTTTAAAAAAAATGAGGTGGCTAGTAGAAGGCATTCTTTGGAGATGAAGATTTATAGAATTATGACTTTTAAGTTTCTTGTGTGTAACTTAAATTAACATTTGGCCCTGCCTTTGTGAGTCACATCTTCACAATTTTGCACACCATAGTTTGCTGTGGCTTAAATGGACTGTTTATATTTATAAATAATAATAATAAATTATTTTGATTTAAAAGAGAGGGATGTTTTTTGTTTATGCTTAAATATTATCGACTTTCCAACAAATAGGCGAGAGTCTAGCTTTACATTTTTCAGTTCCCAATTGCACCTCGAGCATGGTTAAAAGTGTCATCTAATTTTGGCCCTCTTTCAATGTAGCATGGCTGAAAAGCACACCAACCTGTCATTTGAAATTGTGATGGGTTGCTTGACCTTGTTTTTTTTCTTTTCTTTTTTTGGAACCTGTTTTTTAATTTTTTTTTTTTTGGGTTAAATTTGATAATAATTTTTTAAAAGCTTAAAGAAAAAGCCATGAATTGTTTCTAAACGCCCTGAACAAACTGTTTTTTTTTTTTTAAGAAAGGGCCCTGAACTAACTTATTTGTTATAATTGTTTTACAGAGCAATGTTGTAATAACATTGACAATATTAAATTATACTCTAATTTCTTGACGATGCCACCAATGTATTCAATACTTGCATATTATAGTAACCCTATAATTCAATCATTTTCACTTTAGCATTTGTTCAGATTTCAAATGAACAATTTCAACTTTAAATTTGCAAATAGTTATTACAGTTGGATTTAAAATCCAAGGGAAAGGATTGAAGCAGATAAGTTATATATGATTCTTGAATATCATTTTTGAACAACGAAATCTTCTGCATAAAATAAAGCTTTTTTAACCATATATTTGAAATCCATTCATAATAAATAACCTAAATTCTTCCATCTCTCTTTTATATATATAAATGTGAAACTTTAAGGCACAATCGTTATACGATTAAAATCAAATGCATTCATTTCATATTCATAAATCCAAATGCAAACTTAAAATATTTTGAATATTTAGAGCTTAAATGTATACTTTACCGAACCAAAATGAATCTTCCTTAAGCAGGGGCTTATATAATTGAATTGACCCAATCTTATGCATAATGCATTTGTTTGAAATTCTAGTTTCAAGATAAGAACTAATTCCATCTTTGACAAAAATAATCGAAATTGAAGGTGAAAACAATGTGATAAGGCTCATACTTTTCAAGTTATCCAAAGATTCCAAAGCAAATAAACCATGAGAAGCACGAATTGAACCCAGGATTCTCAGTTCCCCTTTAAAATGTCATAAAATGACAGGCTTTTTCTTAGTCTCAGCATAGAGTTCCTGAAAATGCCAATGACCATTTTAAATTAGTAATATACTTGCAATATTACAGATAGGGGCCTATTTTGGGGTGAAATAGTATTTATATACCTCTACTATAGCAGCCAAGCACCAAATTGTAGCTTCACCCCATGGTTGGCCTATTAGTCGCAAACCTATTGTCAGTCTTCGCTTATTGTAGCCAACCTGAACATTAGAATGTGCTGTAGAAGAATGAGAAACCGACTAGAGCACTTGTTCAAAATAACATTCTACTAATCTAGAGCAAGTGACGAGGAGTGGGACATTTGCATTGTTGAAATACGTAATACTGAAAAGGATGGAAGAAAAATATTGAACGTACAGCTCTAGTCATGCAAGCAAAATGTATGACTTTATATTTACTTGTGATTGTAGATTCTATTGACTGCTGCTGCAATACTAGAAGCCAGAGCTAACCTTGTTGAATTCAATTGACTGCTTATTTGTTCATTTGATTTTAATTAGTTTTTTTGAATTTATTTGTTTTGAATTGATAGCAAAGCACTGGTGGGTGTGCTAATTTATTTGTTTGATTTTAATTTATAGCAGGGCATTGGCAGCTGTGTTTTTTTGTTGATTTGTTTGATTTTAATTGCTAATAGGGTACGTACAAGTGTAGATACGATGGATGTCCATATTGACCTGGATGGACTTGTAGCACAAGAAAGACATGAGGAATGTCAAGTTAGAACTAAAACAGATGTGGAAAGCCTTTTGTGGTGAAGATTCTAAGAATTCAACTAGTTCTAATAATAGTGAGTAGGACTCTGATGGGTCCAACCATGATGACAGCCAACAAATGGACACAGACAATTATGGTTGACCAAACTTTGCAAACAGTGTTACTTTTTTCAGCCAATTATTTTGCGAACAGTGTTACTTTTTCTCCCCTTTATTAGAAAACGAAAATTGTAAACAACGGCAGACTTCATGAATGGCTTATGTGATGGACAACATTTGGATGGTTTATGTGAACAATATTATTTAGGATGATGCTTCGTCATTTTGGATAGATATGTCCAACTAAATATTTTTTTGTTGCAATGCCAATGATGTATGTATAGGTTGTTGAAACTTATGGATACCAATCAACTACGCAGTGGATACATTGATTCCAATACTTATGATATTTAGGCACGGAATGTACTTGAAGGAGATAATTCGTTCCATTTCTTTGATGTTCTTTTTTTCTAAGTTGTTGAAGGATACATTAGGTTTTGCTTACTAACAAGGAATTTCGTATTACTGCTTTTTGTAGCAAACACTGTCATTGTTCTTGGTATTTTTAAAATTTGCAAAGAACTACCATTGCGCGCCTTCTAAGTGGTGAGATGACATGAATCATCACTTCCTCTGCATTAACAATATGCTTTTCTTTTCTTTCCTTTTTTTGGATGTTTTTTTAAATAGAAAATTGAGAAAATTTATTAGTTATTTTGTTACTTTGCCAAGGACTTGTCCTCTTACTCTTCTGGCATTTGAAATGTGTATATGATATAGTATACATTAATGGCACAATTTTAGTTGGACATGAACTTATTATGCAAAAAAAAAAAAAAATTACATTGTACTATACATATAGCAATACATGGACTCTTACTCCAGTTTTTTAAACAGTTTCTCCACTAACATTTGGAACATGTGTGAAATTTTTCATGAATTGTAAATGTAACAACTAAGAGTAATTTGATACATTTAAATATCATAAATAGTTTCATCACACCAATCTTAAGTAACACTACAAATTCCATACAAATTGAAACCCAAAAACTAATATGCTTCTTCAATCATTTACAAAATACTACCAAATTGGGTTAGTTTATTCATCTATGTTTCTTCAACCATCTAATATGTTCATAATTGCGAAAAAAACTTAGTGCCAAAAAGGATGTTCCTATCAATCTTTATTTTTCCTTCTAGCCTTATAGAGCCTAGAGTACTTGTTAAAAAGGAAATTGTGCAAATTTATGAATATCTTTTTATTTTTTTATTTTCCTCAAACTATAATTTTTTTTTAAATTTTTTTATTGAAATTTTACTTTGAGAAAATATCATTTTTCCCTCCAACAATAGCTCAAAAAACAATCCAACAACTGTTCTCTTAATAATATCTACTTTATATCTAAACTATTCGGTTTTGCATCAATTTTACTTCACCATCAATTACGATCTATAATCAACTAGAAGTTGCTCATGTGGCACTCAAAATATCAATTAGTTCTCTGAATAAAATGAAGTTTGGAGGTCTAATTGATATTTTATAGGTAGTTTGGAGGGTAAAATGAAATTTTAAATTCCATTGTCATGTCAGCAACTTTCGTTGGATCATAAACAGAAGCTAACAACGGGGGTAAAATTAATCCAAAATCAAATAAACTCAGTGTAAAATTAATATTATTAAAATAACAGAGGTTAAATTAATTTTTCAGTGATAGTATGAGAGGCAAAATGATATTTTCTCTTTTACCTTTATTAAAATTATTAAATCTTCATATTAAATTATGTTAGCAAATTTTCTTATAATAAATATTAATTATTATGATATTAATTACATCAACAATTTCGTCACAGATTAGGGCATGATTTACATTTTGTAAAATGGTAAATTACACCTTCACCCCGCTTAGCTATGAATACTTTCTCACATTGGTCTAAACTATTATATTCTTTTCACTTTGGTCCAAATTGTAACAAATGTTATACTTTTGTGACGGAAAATGCGGCATGGGTCAAGTTCACATTCATTTGTGTGGAAACCTCTACTATAGGCCACGTCAACATGCAATCCTCCATCGTAGAACACTTCTATTTACCGCTTGCCATGACCTATCTATTTTGAAGTGTGAAAACAAAGTTTTCTAAGTGATCAAAGTAGGAAAGTTAATTTTTAAATTCTACAGTTACCCTCAAAAGTTAGCAAATTGGACCAAAAATAAGAAAAGACAAATAATATAGGGACTGAGGTAGGTACAATGACAAACAATATATATATATATATATCTAAGAATGAAAATACAATTTATTATTTTTAAAAAGGACTGACGGTAGAAAGGTAGTGACCGACTACAAAATAATAGGCAAGGACTAATATTGGTATGTGCTAGAGTTATAAATGTGTCAAAGTGATTTATAGCCGATGTCATCATTTGTACATAACAACAACATGACACTAGTAACGGCAACAATGCTATTATAGTGGTCTAAGTCGATGATGATGGTTGTGTTTCAGTGGATCAAAGGGCATGATTAATTAAAGTTGGTAACAATAACATTGTTGTCTAATTCACTAATAATGACAAGGAAAGAAAGAGTGAGAGTCGATAAGATAGTCATAGCAGCAACATTTTAGGTAGAGAGACAGAGAGAGAGCATCGTAGAGCGAGAAATGTAGTTGGAGTTTCATGCGTTTTTGTTAGTGATAATGTTTGAGGTAATGGCAACACAACAACATAATTACATAAAAATGGAGACTGATCAAACGATCAATTACTATTCGAATATTGACTAAATTGATAGTAATGATTACGTTTTTACTAATTGATTGAGAATTATGAATAAGTTGGGAATTAATTGGTTTAGTGTGGCTTATGAAAACTAATTGATTATTGAATCAATTATATTTATTATATCAAGGATCCTTACAATCAATTGTGATATTTGAATCTCCCTTATGTTCTAATGGATTGTACAATCAGTTGTGATGGTTCAAAACTCTGGCTACTAATCGATTGTATAATCAATTGTGGTCTTTGAATCCGATCGATTTTGCAATCAATTATGATTTTCCATTCACTCTAATATGCTATACCAATTGATTACACAATTAATTGTGTTTGAAATTTTAAAAGTTATGATGTTTTGTTAATGTTGTTATGATTTTTGGGACAAAATTACAATCAACGTGCTATGTTATGATTCATTAGTAAGAGTTATGATATTTTGTTAATGTCGTTATGATTGTGGAAAAAAAAGTTACAGTCATTGTGTTATGGTTATGATTCATTAGTAAAAGTTATGATTTGTACTACTAAAAGTTATGATTTGTTATGGTGAATCATAATAAAAAATGTTACGATTCAAATGTTACGATAATTTGTTGAAAATAACTATATTTGTTATGAGTCGTTGTCATATTGTTATGATTGATAGTGTCTTTGTTATGACACCGCATTGTATATTATAACATTGTTATGATTCATTGTAGTAATTGTTATGATGTTTAAAAAAAGGTATGATTCTTTCATGTAATCTGTTAAATGACCTGTTTAGCAGGTTACTTTTTATGACGTGGCACAATATAGACCACATAATAAGTGCATATCATATGCCCTTTTAGAAGGTGCACATTGTAGACTTTTCCTAAATAATTTTCTAATAATAGTTTCGGTCCTTCAATTACGTTTTACATTATTTAAATGATTTTAAAATTTTAAAATTTAATAACTTTTTATTTACATCTCCAATTTTTATAAAATTTATATTTTTAAGAATCCTATTTATAAGATCTTTTAAAAAATATCCATGAGTAATATAAAATTTTTAAGAAAAAAATTCATGAAATTTTCCTATGTTTGTTGTTATGTCACAGTGAGGGGAGATTCTATTTACACACCATAATTTATCTCAATACACACCATTTCTAATTCACGCCTCCACATCTTCTTCATTTTTTATTATTTTCTCAATTCACACCCTTTATGCCCAAAATATCCTAACCCTACTTACCCCCAACCCAGCCATCACCAGATCCGACGACCTACTCCCGCCATCATCCATCCTCCACAACCTATCCCAACTGCCACCGTCCCTCTCCCAGACTCCTTCAACCCTTCCTTGCCTCAACTTCGTCCCATTCCGACACCTCCACAACCACACCTCGTCATTACTATAGCCTTAGTGACAGCTACCCCCAACCCTCGCGATTGACTAAGATCGATGAATAATTAATCGAATAGAGAAAGAAAGAGAGAGCAAGCAAGCGAAGAAGAGAAGAAGAGGCCGCAACGGGAGAGGTTCGCCAAAGGAGGCGCTGGAGAGTTGTTGCAGAGGGAAGATGGCAAGAGAGGTAAAGGGCAGCGGGGGAGGCGGTGGAAGTGTGGTAAATGGCAACCGACGGTGGTTGGGTTAAGGTAGGTGGAAATGGTGCTATTGCAGGTGAGGGGTGGCAGCCAGCGATCGTGGGGTTGAAAGGAGATGGCAGTCGGCAGTGGTGAGTTGAGAGAGAGGGAGGGGTGTGTAGGTAATTTAATTAGAGGATATAACGGTAATTAAAAAATTTTGAGATAATGTTGTGAATTGAGAGAATAGGTGGTGTGCAAATAGAAGCGTCCCACGGTGAGATTTTTCTGACTTCGTGAAATTTCACAAAGATAGAAAAACACAATGGCATAGAAAAAATTTTGTGTGTCAATACAGAGAAAAACACAGAAACACATAAAAAAAAATTATGTTTCAACACCAAAAAAAAAAAAAAAAAACACAAATAGAGAAAAATTTGTGTTTCAACACAAAGAGAAACAAGGATAGGGAAATTTTTTGTTTCAACACACAGAAAATAATAAGAAGAGAGAGAGAGAGGCTGCTATCAAATTTTAAATTTTGGCACAATTGATTTGAATTTCAAATTTTGGTACAAATAATTCAAATGTTTTTTTTTTTTGTGTAAATAATATATTATTTACCAACTTGGCCCGACCTAGAATAGATACCTGATCGTCAATTGCATGTGTGTTGAATTTGGGCCTATTTCATTTTGTCCATAACTCCCCTCCTTACAAGGACTTACATGTTGAATTTTTATAAAGTTCAAATACCTATTAAATTCTCATTCACGCATAAATAATCTGAAACAAATATACAATATTATTCCTCACGTGACATAAAATACGTTACACCATTTAGACCCATAAAAAATAATGTATGACGCCCACCTCAATTTTAGCTTAGACCCATAAAAAATAATGTATGACGCCCACCTCAATTTTAGCTTAAAAACCATTTCCACGAAAACTAACCGTAAATGGTACGCAAAGAGTACCATTTCCCAATTTCACACAATATTCACATGCTTAAACTCGTACCCACACGTTAATATTGTGTCCAATAATTCTTATTGAGTCGTAGCGTATTTGTTTTCAGTTGCACATGTTTCTTAGCAAAGATCAATAAGACCGTTTCATAAATGCGTCGGTGTTTTTCGTTTTTATTTTTAATAATATTATATATATTAATTAGTATATTAATATTAGTTATAATATTATTATTAATTCTATTCATTAATCACATTATAAATTTTAAAAATTTCTTAAATTATATCATATCATCAATTAATACATATAACATTATTCTTTTATTGGTACTGACCTATTTTTGTCACCTTGATTAAATGTTAATTTTTTTATTTTTTTAATATTTTATACATTTTTTTTAAAAAAAAAAAATTAAAAATTAACTTTTAATTTATTTTTCAAAATAGGCCGAAGCCATGAGAAGGTTTTTTGGTTCTTGAACAGGCCATAAGAAGGTTTGAACCTAGAAGATTGATTAATAAAGCAGCCCAATTAGGAGTGGTTGGTTGGGCCTGAAACAATTGTTGATGATAAACAACGAAGTGATCATCTAAAGGATATAAAAGCATGTGAGTTTTATTTGTACCGGCGAGAAATTAATAAATACAAATAAGACTCATGTTTTATTAATATTTTAATTATGTTAGATTTATTTTATTTTAATAATTAATTAATTTTTTTTAAAAAGACATAAAAAATGTAAAAGATAATATGATTTAAAATAAATTAAAAATAGACGTAAAAGGAAAGGAAAAACCAAAAAACGTATGGGTATCATACACGACAACGTCCTATCTTATCCTAATCAACAACGTCCAATTAGATATTGATTTATTGAGTTTGGTTTAGATCTAAAAATTAATTTGTTTCTAGAAAAAAAATTTAAAAAAAATGAATTGTTTTTGAAAAAAAAATCTTTAGCAGACTTTGTTTCAAATGTATTTTTTAAAAAAATTATTCACTTTTCAGATCCATCTAATTTAGTAAAATCTAAATTGAAAGGCCTTTTATTTTATTTTTTTAAATCACTAGGCACGGTTTGAGAAGAAAAATATGAGATTTTTTGGTTATTTTAGTCACAAAAGACAAAATCGATTATTTTAGCCATAAAAAATAAAACATCACATCCAACTCATAATCATTATACTCTTCTCTTATAAAAAAAGTCAAAAAGTCCTTCCCAAAACAAGCTTTTTAGCCCAGGCTAAAATAGTCTAAAAAGTTAAAAAGTCAATCCACTTCCCAAACTAACCCTAAAGACAAAAAGAAGTCCACAAAAAATTGATAAAAATTGTGAAATCTAACCTAAACATAATGCAGATCACATTCAAAATGAATTTGGATTACACATTTATATTTTTGTGTGCAAGTTGTATTACCTTAACATAAAGTTTTTGAAAATGATTCACAAATAAATTTGTAGAAAAAACTAACTGAGAATGATGTGATAGTGATATTTTTAAACTACAAATCACAATAGGAATCTTTTAGTTTGAAGTTAAAGAAACTAAAAAGCACAATATTTTTTTCACCATTTGTGTAATGGATTTTGATTGAGACCACCTTCAATTACCACCTCTATCACCCCCTTTATACATACACATGTGACGGCTGGTGATGGAGGAAAAGAAAAAAAAAAAAAAAACTAACCAATGAGGGAGAGAGAGGTCAAGAGCGTGGAGGAGAAAGGAAGTCCGAATTATTTTTTGATTTAATATTCGTGACTGGTTAAAATTCATGACAATGACTATTTAATATTCGTACTATTCCTGAAAGTCAGAGAGTGAGCTTTAAAATGGCCACCAAAAGTTTTAGTCAAATTTTAATACTCTCTCTGTCCTATAATATTAGTCTCTTATTTTATTTTTTATTATTCTAAAATATTAGCTCTTCTTAAAAAATCAAGTACAAAAATAATATAAATTTTTTATTTTGTTCTTCTTTTAAATTCATAAATAATATAAAAAGTACAATTATGATATTGATATTTTCAAAAAAAATACTATCAAAGGATAATTTTGAAAAATCAACTTTTTTAAAGTACAATAATTATACTACCAAAAAAAATTAAATTTCTTAAAAAAGACCATTATTTTAGAACGGAGGGAGTATTAAATCCTGTGCCAAAATCTCATCCCTCTTTCTTTTTCCATGACTTGTTTTATAATGGCATTTTGATTTGACTTGTAACAATGAAAATAAAAAATACTTTAATATTAAAATAAAAATAAAATAAAAGAACGGAAAGTCTTGTAACAATAAAAAATACTTTACAAAATCAGTCACGAAATCTTATATAGCCTCCGTTTGGGATGTAGGTTGGCTTTTTAATTTTTTAATTTTTTGATTATTTTAGCCTGAGATTAAAATGCCTGGTTTGGGAAGAACTTTTTGAATTTTTGACTTTTTTGACTTTTTTTGTGAGAAAGAAGTGTAATGATTATAGGTTGAATTTGATGTTTTATTTTTTGTATCTAAAATAGCCCATTTTATTTTTTTGGCTATTTTAGCCCCTAACCCACTAAAACCGACTTCCCAAACTATGCCATAGTCGATTGTCAAGGCTTAAAATTAATCGATAGATTGATCGGCAGGGGCGGAGCTACCAAGGGGCCGGGGTTCACGTGCCCCTGGATTTTGCAATTTTTTTTTTTTTTAAAAGCAAACATAAAGGAAATATTTTAAATAAAAAAAATTATAAAAATAATATTTTAAATGTGAATGATATTTTTAAAATAATAAGAATAATAATGGTTATTTTGATTGAAAATAAAGGTATTAAATCCTGTGCCAAAATCTCATCCCTCTTTCTTTTTCCATGACTTGTTTTATAATGGCATTTTGATTTGACTTGTAACAATGAAAATAAAAAATACTTTAATATTAAAATAAAAATAAAATAAAAGAACGGAAAGTCTTGTAACAATAAAAAATACTTTACAAAATCAGTCACGAAATCTTATATAGCCTCCGTTTGGGATGTAGGTTGGCTTTTTAATTTTTTAATTTTTTGATTATTTTAGCCTGAGATTAAAATGCCTGGTTTGGGAAGAACTTTTTGAATTTTTGACTTTTTTGACTTTTTTTGTGAGAAAGAAGTGTAATGATTATAGGTTGAATTTGATGTTTTATTTTTTGTATCTAAAATAGCCCATTTTATTTTTTTGGCTATTTTAGCCCCTAACCCACTAAAACCGACTTCCCAAACTATGCCATAGTCGATTGTCAAGGCTTAAAATTAATCGATAGATTGATCGGCACCGGGGGTCACACCAAGGGGCCGGGGTTCACGTGCCCCTGGATTTTGCAATTTTTTTTTTTTTTAAAAGCAAACATAAAGGAAATATTTTAAATAAAAAAAATTATAAAAATAATATTTTAAATGTGAATGATATTTTTAAAATAATAAGAATAATAATGGTTATTTTGATTGAAAATAAAGCGATTACCATATTATTATCTATGAAAATTTCAATGTAATGGTGATGTCTATCACTATTGACATGCAAACATAATTAATCTCAATAAAAATATAAAATTTATTGAATTATTAGTTACATTTGACATGTAGCGTTTATTCTCTATGTGTTTCTTTACTATTGGTTGGTGATATCACATGTTAATGATGACGTGGTATAACTATTATATTGAATTTTGCGCATATTTTGTATAAAAAAATTACTTTATCATTATATAATTTATTTTAAAACTTTATATCCATGACTTTTTTTAATATTGTCCATGATACACTAATTACAAATAATATTTAGCTTATTTGGTTCTAGTTTTCAGAAAACAGTTTTCAAAAAATTCTATATTTTTATTTTCCGTATTTTAATATTTTCAATAATTTTTTTTAATATTTTAAGCAAATTTTTTTAATTTTTAAACATACCTAACATAAATATACCTAAAAAGTATAATATTTGTGAAATTTTTTTTAAAAAAATACACTAAGGCCTCGTTTGAGAACAGACTAATTTAGTAACTTTTTGGCTATTTGACTAAAATATGAGCTAAAAAAATTAGTATGTTTGGGATGACTTTTTGAATTTTTACGAAAAGATGTGCAAAAAGTAGAGAGCAAAGAGAATCTTTGACTTTTTGGTATAAGTTGTTGGCTTTTTGACTTTTTGGCTAAATGGGCTGGTTCCCAAACGAGACCTAAATACAAAAAAAAATATATGAAAATTCAGTACATTTTTCGTATTTTTGTGTATTTAAATTTATTAATTTTTTAAAATATTTTTTCACAAATATTTTACTATTTGGATATATATCTAAGTAATGTGCATCTAAAAAAGTAAAAAATTGTTTAAAATTTAAAAAATATTCACTAAAATAAAAAAAAATACGAAAAATAAAAAACTTAGTTTTCAGAAAACTAAAACCAAACACACTGATTAATTTTTTTTTTTTTTATCTTTCTTGAAGTTAATGGTAAAAATTTATGTTAAATATTTTTATAAAAAAATTTAATATTGTAATTAATAAGTGCCTCCTCTGCTTTAATTTTTTGGCTCCGTCATTGTTGATCGGCAAAACTTTGTGACAAATTTCGTAAAGTATTTTTTATAATCAGTAACATTACTCAACAACATAAATAAAATTTGTCTCTTTTTTTTTTTCGATACCCAAAATGTCTCTAAAGTAAAATTTTTAGAGTCTACCCTTACAAACTAAACTGATGAAAACTAGTTGATTCACTTAAATTGTCGGATTTTCACTTCAATAGAAAAAGATTCGAACTCTAATCAATAAGAAGAGGAGCGTACTCCTTTATCAACTAACTAGGATGGCCCTTGTGGTAAATTTGCCTCATTATTGGAGTAAGATTACTAGCATATCATATTTTCATTGTTAAAATTGGACTTGAGAAAACTATTTTACAAATACACCATTGGGAGTGCCCTAATTCACTATATAATACAACTTTATACCAAGAGAGAGAGAGAGAGAAGCTTCATTTCTCCAACTTCCCCATAGACTAAAAACTCAAACAAAAAAGAAGATGATGGCGAACTCAACAAGCACAGGCAAAACCCATGCCGGTTCCGACCTCAACTACGATCGGAAAACCGAGCTGAAAGCTTTCGACGACACAAAAGCCGGTGTGAAGGGGCTAGCAGACTCCGGTCTATCCAAAGTCCCTCGCATTTTCATCAACCATCAACCCAACAATCACAACGGTACGGACTCACACAATATCGAACTCAAACATAGCATTCCAGTCATAGACCTCGGAGGCATCCACAACGACACGAGTGGACGAGTCGAGGCGGTGGAGAGAGTGAGAGAGGCTTGTGAGAGGTGGGGTTTCTTTCAAGTTGTGAATCATGGGATTGAGAAGAGTGTGATGGAGGAGATGATTGAAGGGGTGAGGAGGTTTAATGAGCAAGAGACGGAGGTGAAGAAGAGGTTTTATACAAGGGATGTGATGGGGAAGAAGGTGTTGTTTAATACTAATTTTGATCTGTTTAGTGCTCCGTCGGCCAATTGGAGGGATACCCTTGCTTGTATTATGGCTCCTCACCCTCCTCACCCTGAAGAATTGCCTGAGATTTGTAGGTATGTGATCTTGGTTATGTCAAACAGTGAATTTAGTTATCATATTTTGTCGTTAAAATAGAATTATTGAAACACAGAAAATCCATGACTAATAAATTAAAGAGAAGGGTTACTTACATCCAGGGCGGAGCTATCAAGGGGTCAGGGTGGGGTCACGTGCCTTCCCTCCCCTCGGTTTTGCAATTTTTTTTTTTTTTTTCAAAAGCAAACATAAAGAAAATATTTTAAATAAAAAAATTTATAAAAATATTATTTTAAATGTCAATGACATTTTTTAAATAATAAGAATAATAATAGTCATTTTGATTGAAAATAAAGTGATTACGATATTATTATCTATGAAAATTTCAATGTAATGGTAACGTCTATCACTATTGACATACAAACATAATTAATCTTAATGAAAACATAAAATTTATTAAATTATTAGTTATATTTGACATGTAGCATTCATTCTCTATGTGTTTCTTTACTATTGGTTGGTGATATCACATGTTAATGATGACGTGGTACAACTATTATATTGAATTTTTACGCATATTTTGTATAAAAAAATTACTTTATCATTATATAATTTATTTTAAAACTTTATATCCATGACTTTTTTTAATATTGTCCATGATACACTAATTACAAATAATATTTAGCTTATTTGGTTCTAGTTTTCAGAAAATAGTTTTCAAAAAATTCTATATTTTTATTTTCCGTATTTTAATGTTTTCAATAAGGCTAAGTTTGGCATCTTTAAAAAAAGTCAAAAAGTCACTATCCTATTTAAGTCACATCATCTTATTTAAGTCACATCACCTCTCTACTACATCACTTCAAACTCAACCCATATTTTATAAAAAGTTTAAAAATGCACTTATTTAGAACATCTCAAACAATCCCTAAATTTTTTTAATATTTTAAGCATTTTTTTTTAATTTTTAGACACACCTAACATAAATATACCTAAAAAGTATAATATTTGTGAAAAAAATCTTTAAAAAATACACTACCAAAAAATATAAAAATAATATGAAAATTCAGTACATTTTTTTATATTTTTGTGTATTTATTAATTTTTTTAAATAATTTTTCACAAATATTTTACTATTTGGATACATATCTAAGTAATGTACATCTAAAAAAGTAAAAAAATTGTTTAAAATTTAAAAAATATTCACTAAAACCAAAAAAATACGATAAATAAAAAAACTTAATTTTTAAAAAACTAAATTCAGAAAACTAAAACCAAACACACTGATTAATAAGTACCCACTCTGATTTAATTTATTGACACCGCTGCCACTAGTTACATCCATACAATTTTTTCTTTCACAATCCCCTTAACGAGATGGGAGGACAGAATGCATGAAAAAACAATTTTGAGAAAATATTTTAATGTAAGTTAATTCTTCAAATTTTACTTGCTATATAATTTGGAAATTTTGGGAAAGAAAAATTTTGTGAATAATTCATTTCTCTTAATGAAATTGCAAAAAAATTCATTGTTTGACTTGAATTCAAGTCACTTCAACCCCACATTTTTTGGTATAAACAATGGTCCCGGGGAAACTAGGTTGGAAAATTTACCCACAAGTCCTAGTTTTTGAAAAGTTGAACCATTTAGTCCTAAAAGTTTTCTTATGTTCCATTTAGTCCCATTTGCACATCAATCTAATGTTTGAAACATTAATCTGATATTCGAAATCTAATGTTCGAAACATTAATCTGATGTTCGAAATCTAATGTTCGAAACATTAATATGATGTTTGAAACATTGTAATGGGACCTTTCAGTCTATAAGAAAACTTTTAGGACTAAACAGTGTATAAGTTATTAATTTGGGATTTATTGGTGCATCCCCCTTAGATTAAACTAGTTAATAAAAACAAATTAAAATAAAATAAAATAACTAATAAGATAAAATATCATATTTAAATAATCATTTTATATTTTATTTTATAATTATTAAATCAATTACAAAAAAAAAATCAACTGTCATCCCAAGCACAACCTTTTTAATCTAAATAAAAAAATTAAAAAAATTAAAAAGCCAACTAAAATCACCTATTCCCAAACAAGAGCAATGTTAATGTTCTTGGGTTAATTTTTCATTCAAATTGTGATTGTGGGGAAAGTTATTAGATAGTTTCAATGCATCATGTAGTGTTATTTACATCGTATTTTTGATAAATGAGAAATTGTAATTTATATTGAATTGAGTGAGTCAGTTATTGCCTCTCAACTACTTAATTAGTTATCATGTCTCCTTTGTAAGATTTCCTGTTATGCCATTAGTTTGAATTATTGTCATAAAGACAATATCACATATATTTTAAGATTGTCCAATAATTTCCTATTATTGTAGAAAGATGATTTATTTTATTTTATTTATTTATTTATTTATTTATTTTGGGTATATTCACAAAGCACCTTTCTCACTTTGGCATGTGATGGTTTGACGGATTCTCATTTGTCATTTTAAAATTAGATTGATCTCATAATCGTATATTTATATGATTTATTATATTTATTTTACAATAATTTTTTATTGTACATACCTTAATTGGAGCTGACCATAAGAAAAAAAATTAAAAAAAAAAGAAAAAAAAAAGATCACGTGATATAAAATTGGCAGTAAAAAAGTTGTTAAAACAATTGAATCGAGAATCAAAAGGACCAAACTCATGATGAAAGTGTAAAAATTTAATTCCGGCAAATGTGCTTGAAATTACTTCAAACGTGATAGTTCAGTTGGAATCAATCCAATAAGCAAAACTCATGAAATTGTTACTTAAGCAAACGATTTCCATTGTGTGGGCTTTAAAATTTGTGTTTTTGCCATTTATGGAAACTTTTCTTTTAGCAATTTCATTTTCAGTCTCTTATACTTCCTAGCATCCCCCAATTTTTTTTATTATTATTTTTTTATTTTCATTATTTTTTGTGTCTTATAGATTTTCATACTTCCCCTTGTGGATCGACGATTTTTTTATCATAAATTTAATAACTTTAGGGCGTGTTTGATTGGGGGGATTGGGGGGACTATCCACTATTTGGATTACTGGTACATTATTGCTCGGTCATTTATGGTTTTGGTTTTTCTCTCAAATTGCAGAGATGCAGTGATAGAATACTCGAAGGAAGTGATGAAATTGGGACACACTTTGTTCGAACTGATGTCGGAGGCTCTAGGGCTGAACCCAAACTACTTGAAGGACATGGATTGTTCAGATGGGATCCTACTAATGGGACATTACTACCCAGCTTGCCCTGAACCAGACCTAACTTTAGGGGCTAGTAACCATTCAGACAGTGACTTCCTCACAGTACTCTTACAAGACCAAATGGGTGGGCTTCAAGTTCTTCATCAGAATCAGTGGATTGATGTTCCTCCCATGCCTGGAGCTCTAGTCATCAACATTGGAGACCTCATGCAGGTAAACCCATCTCCAACAGATCATGCTACTTCAATCGTGTCAATATTATATTTTAGTAGGTTAGCATTATGCTTTGATAAACTTGCTTCATTAGAACATGGGCTGCTTTTTTAGTATATCACTTGTATTAGTGTGTCTACCTAATTATATGTATTTGTATTGTCTTTAAATTTAAATATTTTTAATGCAATAATGAATATTTTAAATAAAATTGAATTCATTAATTTAAATAAAATAAAATACATAATTTAGTATAGTAGAGTTTTGTAGCGCACACTTGGCAACATTGTACAATAATGTTGATTAAATTATTTTAATTGAGGCAAAGGTTAACGAGTATTCTTGGAGCAATGTGATATTAGAATTTGTATAAAAATGATTTTGGAGAAGGTGAAAAGATTTTACAAAAATTAAATTTACCGTTTTTTTTATATATATTTTCTTGTGTCTTAAGAATACTTGTTACGTTTTAATTGATGTGGCATTTTGTATGGTAATATAGTTAAATTTTCATCATGTTAAAATTATGATTTTATTTCTATCGCCAAATTTAACACAATAAATAGTAGATAGTATACTAATTGAGTTAATTTTTTATTTAGTCAATCCAGTGAATCGGATATCAAGTTATCAAAAAATTAAGTTAATTTTTTGTTGTCCTCCGACCAATGATAGCATTAATACAATTATAACAGCACCGTTGGGATGTTCTAAGCCTACATTTATCAAATCTGATTTCAAAATGTTGGTAGATTCACTACACCTACACGAGATCTCAAATTTAATTCATGCTACACATTGATTTTGATTCTTCAATAAAAACTTTTGATTTTGGGATTGAATATATATATTGAACAGAGAATGCTTATGCAGACTAATTTATTAGTTTTAATGTGTCATACTTTGGGCAGCTAATCACTAATGACAAGCTCAAAAGTGTGAATCACAGAGTGCTTGCAAAGCATGTAGGACCAAGAATATCAGTGGCATGTTTCTTTAGACCCCAACTTCACGCTGAAAATGCCTTGAAATCTTATGGACCCATCAAGGAGTTGATCTCAGATGAAAATCCCCCACTCTACAGAGAAACCACTGTTAAGGACTTCCTTGCTCACTATTACTCAAAAGGGCTTGATGGTGTTCCCTCTTTACTCCATTTGAAGTTGTGAAGAGCTTAGGCACGAGATTTTCTATATCTAATTTTTTTTTTTTTTTTTTTTTTATCTTTTTGTTTTAATGTATTATCAGTCAGAAGATTATGGTTTTGTTTGATACACTTTATAAGGTTACGCATATTTTTTTTTTTAACTTTTGGCAGTACGTATCAAGTGTTTCGTATAACTTTTGCTTAATTTATGAGACATAAATAACTTAAATCACTACAAGAAAATACATCTTTGTCGACTATTTTTGGCTACCAAAAACAATTTAGTCGCCAAAAGTTATGGAATTGGCTACCAAAAATAATATTAGTCGGCAAAAGTCAACTTTTTAGCTACTAATTTTTTTTAGTAGGGAAATATTGATTATTGGCGACTAAAAAAAACTTAGTAGCTAAAAATATTACAATTGGCGGCTAAAAATATTTTTAGTAGCTAAACATATCACAATTGGCGACTAAAAGAAATTTTAGTAGCCGTAGAGCTACTTTTAGCTACTAAATTGTTTAGTAGCCGAATGAAAATAAAAAATTTATTTTTTATCTTTGGCGACCAAACTTTTGGTCGCCAAAAATATATATTCAGCGACAAAATTCCTTTTTAGTCGCTGTAGAGCTACTTTTGGCTACTAAATTGTTTAGTAGCCGAATGAAAATAAAAAAAAATTATTTTTTATCTTTGGCGACCAAAATTTTGGTCGCCAAAAATATATTTTTAGCCACAAAATTCCTTTTTAGTCGTTGTAGAGCTACTTTTGGCTACTAAATTGTTTAGTAGCCGAATGAAAACAAATAATTACTTTTATCTTTGGCGACCAAATCATATTTTAGTCGCCAAAGATGATTTATTTCAGCAACCTTTCAAATTTTGAATGGATACCAAAAATTATTAGCACCTCTCCCCTCTCTCTCTCTCTCTCTCTCTCTTTTCAGAGTCCCTCTCCGTCTCCGTTGCTCCTCTCCCCTCCCTCTCTCACTGCCGCTCTTCTTCGCCTTCGCCGAAAACCGGAGCACCTCCTCCTCCTCCGCCATCACCATCGCCATCGTCATCATGAGTACCGCCGCTCTTTTCATGCCGCCTCCTCCTCCGCCGATCGTCATAGATCCACCGCCACCGCTACGAGATCCAGAGGCTTCATTGCTGAGATGAACTCTGCTCCATTGATGCTCCGTCTCGCATATGCTTCTCTCTCTCTATATATATATATATCTATCTATATATATAGGAATTGGGTTAAAATTTTATATTAAACTTGTTTGGCTGTAAAATTGAAACAACTTGAAATCTACAATTTTTATTTTCTTGATGAAATTGGTCTTTCTCTTTAAAACATAGAAGGAACCTAATCTAAAATTGGGATATTTAAAATCCGTTCTCATAAAAACCTAGTTGATTCTAAATGGAAAAATTAAATTTTCACAATTAAATGCACCCTAATAAATTGGAACTTTCAATTGGTTGATTCGAAATGGAATAATTCAATTTGCACAGCTAACTAACCCCTAATAAATTAGAATTCTCTAAGAAAATATTTTAAAAATTTCATCCATGATCAATGTTGATTTTGCAAGGGTAAAAACAGATTATAAGTTATAATTACCACTGCAAGGGTAAAAACATGATCAAATTGAGATTGTTTATAAAGGAGTTATAAATGAGAATGTGAGACCAGGTTCAAGACCACACTGGTTGCTATTAAAGAGCTTGATCATGAAGGATTCCAAGGCGACAGAGAATGGCTGGTGTTTGTTATTTGTTTTGGCTTACATTGTTTCTGTTCTTTTTTTTATTTTTTATTTAAGCTCATTTATCTTATTATTATTCAGCCTCGCATTTGCAGTAACTATAGATATGTAAAGCTTGGCACTCTACTTTATTTTATCCTGAAAACACACTACTCACAGGAAATAGCCTATTATAAAATTGTGGAGGGAAGGGAGTCACTTAGTCTTTTTATTTTTATTTTGTATAACTTGTATTTTCTAGATGGTACCTTGTAACCACAAATAGTTTGAAGTGGCTAGTTAATTTACTTTTCATTTGTGAAAGAATGTGGACAGAATGGTTGAACTAACTGAAAGTGGATCATTTTGGGTTGCCTCACAAACGATGGAGAGAGAAAGAAGAGGGTGGGAAGGAGGAGTGCAATATTATTTTATTTTCAATATAGGTAATAAAAGGACACATTTTCATGGGATACAATTTGGAAAACTCCTTTATAAATATGTTCCTGTTCTTTCTGCATTGGATGGGTGTCTTGATGTTCTTGAGATCTCATGTCTAATGTAATTTAGTGGAACTAGCTTCACTTTATCAGACTAATTTAGTGGAACTAGCTTCATTTTATCAGACTAATATATATATATATAGGAATTTCTTTGCGATAGAAGGCTTGCTTTTTTTCCCCCTGTTTTGCACCTTAGATTGATATCTATCTATATCTATTCTGAAGCAATGGTAAAACTTGAAATTGTGATTTATTTGCTGACCCTGTGCACCATGGTATTCTAATCGTCAGGCAAAGCTAAAGGCGTCTCATTATCAATTGGCACCCGGACGTTCTAATGGGAATTCACATTTTCCTTCACAATCACCATCTCACCTTGGGGTTTATAAAATCGCTACTCTTGTTTAGTTTGGGGTTTATGCTTGCTTTGTTGATTTTTAACACAGTTATGGAATCTATAGTAAAAATAGATGAGCTAGTGGTTGTTTTTTACACCATTATATGTTGAATCCGGTCAACACACTCCTGAACCTGTTGACAATGATCGTGGTGCTACAGTTAATATCCCTCTTGATAATGGAAAGGTAGACTAAAGTTCAAAGGATGTTGAACCTGTTTACTATTTTTATGCATAGACATAGGCTTTGTTAATTTCATTATCCTCTGCTGCAATCTAGGATTTCAGAACAAAGGAGAAAGAACTCCAAGCAAAGGAGGCTGAATTGAGAAGGAGAGAGCAGGTACTTGTTTATACTAATTAAAATTGTAGCTTCCGAATATGTTTTACCTAGAATTGAATGGCTATTTTTTTAATTTTATTTTCATGGACACTTTGTATTAATGTTATTAGTTTTTCATTTTATTTATATTATGCCTTTGTCATGGATTCCCTAAAGGTCTATCACAACCTTGTTCTATTTTTAGACACCTTAAAATTACCCTATGAGGTCTAAATATTACATTTTCTATTTTGTGCACTTTAGGCATAATTCATCTTTATGGCTATAATAAGCTTTAACAAGAACTTCTTGTAAATTTATGACATTCGCAGGCTTGTTAGTGTGCCTTCTATGGAATATTATAGCAGTTACCGTAGCCTGGATCAATGGAGAAGGTTGGCTTGGAAATACTTTGAATGGCCTTCTAAGCCTCTTGCTTGCATATATGAGTCTTGATTTTTCTTGTCTTGTAGGTCCGACAATTTGGTTTCTTGTTATTATTTACTTCATAACAGGGGTTCCAGGGGCCTATGTGTTGTGGTATCGTCCTCTTTATCGTGCTATGAGGTACTATTTCGTGCTCTTTGCCTTTAACAATGGGATCTATTTGGGAATTCTCTGTTATAAAATTGTCTGTTAACCCATTACAGGACTGATAGTGCATTGAAGTTTGGGTGGTTTTTCTTGAGTTACGTGGTAAGCTTTTGCATCTTCTAGTTAGATTTGTTTTCTACATTGAAGGTTTTCTAGAAGTCTTATTTCTGTTCCTTTTCCTTATCCATGCAGTTCCATATTGCCTTCTGCGTCTTTGGACTTCGAATTTGCAGTGTTTTTTCAATTCTTATTTTGTGCTAAAAAGCCGTGTTGAGTTCTCTTGAAATTTTTTAGCCCCCAAAAATGTTGGAAATAGTAAACTACACATTGTAAATTATATCACAAATTAAGCTATATAGGGGATCACATTTGCTGTGAGTTGGTTATTTATTTTGCATCCTGTAACTGATGAATGTATTTTCCGATTGTTTGACAGGGGAATCTTGCCAGCAATAGATGTCATGGGTGATCATACTATGGTTGGGGTGAGTTCAAGATCTTATCGCTTATGGCATAGTATCACCAGACCATTCTAACTGCAAAACTGTTGTTGGAAAGTTACTTGATTATCTCCTTTATTACTTTACAGATTTTCTACTTTATTGGATTTGCATTTTTCTCCATCGAGTCACTGATCAGCATCTGGGTTATCCAGGTTTGTTAATCTGACTTCAATTTCTCTCCTCTCCTCTCACTTTCCTTTCTTCTGTACTTTCTCTTGAGCTTTGTTGTCCCTTGTCCCAATATTGCAGGATGTTTACATGTACTTCCGTAGCAGTGGCAAAGCAGCAGAGATGAAGCGTGAGGCTGCAAAATGGACAATGATGGCCATCATTTTGAGCCCGGAGCCTAACCCGAGATCCTGGGCTTGGGTCAGGGCCATCATTTTGAAACCCGGCCCGATCCATCGGCCTACTTAAGGCTTACTCAAGCCAGGCCCGCCCAACCTGCCCAAGGCCCAGTGTCTTTCTTAGTAGAAAATAACAAAATTTATGTTGTGGTACATATGTCCTTTTTGGAAATTAATTTGGTTAGTCCTGTATTATGTATGAAATGAAATTATTGACATTGGATTAGTCTTGGTTCGTATGGAATTTGTATTATATATAGAATTGGACATTTATTTTTAATGTTTTGGATGGTTGGAACTAGAATGTGTGCACGTTGTTGAATGCTTGAATGGTTGATAATATATTTAGCGTTGATGGGTTATATTAGGTTATATGGATTATATTGAATCCTGTATTATGTACGTACAGGTTGTATTAAACATGGATGTAGGTTGTTTAGAATTTTTTTGGAAAAAAAAAAAACATAAAATATTTAGCCACCAAATATTTTGGTAGCCAAATACGTAGTTGGAATTTTTTGGCGACTAATAATTTAGTAGCAAAAACATTTGGCGACTAAAACATTTGGTAGCAAAAAGTAATGAATAGTTGGTTAAAATTTCCATTTAGAACTTTTAGTGACTAAAACATTAGTGGCCGAAATGTCACGATTGCCGACTAACTACGGATTCGTAGCCAAATGTTAAGTTTCGGTGACTAATTCTTTCGTAGCAAAAAGTCACACCTTCCCCGACCACACGAATGGTAGTAGCCAAAAGTCACATTCGGCGACTAATGGTTTTAGTGGCCGAAAGAAATAAATTTAGTAGGCAAATGTTACACTTTTGGCGACCAAATAAATTTTAGTCGCCAATACTATCGCCGACAGGGTATAGGCGACAAACTTGGCGACAAAACTTCTTAGTCGCAAAATTGTTTCACCGACCAAATTTTGGACTTTTGGCGACCAATATTTTGGTAGCCAAAAGTGACATTTCTTGTAGTGAATAAGTCTTGTTTGGAACCACTCCTTGCCCCCCAAAGTCTTATTTTTTGGTTGGTTGGCCTGGAAAAATAGAATTAAATCTTCTGAATTCTTGTGCAACCTTGACATCCTAGGCCACAACATTTCCACCTCTCGCATCTTCTGCAATTCTGCTCCAGAATCTGCCCAGCATTTATTGCTTCATTGTTCCTTCTCATGGGCCATTTGGTCCTCTGTGCTTCAGGATTGGGGTCTTCAATGGTGCATTCCTCCATCTGTATCAGATCTGTTCTCTTGGTTGATGGGGGTGAATTTTAAGTCTTTTCTCAGGAAATTTTGGAGAGCCACTCCCCTTGTTGTCCTCTGGTCCCTTTGGAAACACAAAAACGATTGTACTGTCTCTGGTGTTCTTCCTAACTCAGCTGATCTGTGGGATCTCATCAAAGTTAAATTAGCTTTTTGGCTTAAAGCCTCTCTTAGGGACTTCCCTTACTCTATTAATGATATTGTTTTGAATTGGAGTCAAATAAGGGGCTGCCATTGATACTTTCTTACTTGCCAGTGCTCTGAATTGCATCAGGAGTGTGGTTGATGGTTGGCTAATTGTTTTGACTAAGAATCCTTCTGATTGAGAAACGGGTAGGCAGGTTAATTGTTTTCATCAGAATGGGAAGGCTGGTTTGGCTGTGGTTCTGATTGAGAATGCTTCTGTTTCTGAAATGGGTAGGCAGGTTAATTGTTTTCATCAGAATGGGAAGGTTGGTTTAGTTGTTCTAGTTTTGCGATCTTTTGGAATGCAATTGGTCTGAATTGTATAGGTTGGTTGTGGCTCTAAATTGATCAGATATGTATACTATGTTGTTTTATTGCTTCGATCTCAAATGAAAGGCTGATTTTGTTTTGATCAGAAATGGGTTTTGTCTGCTGCTGTGTGAGATTTTTGCTGCTGTTGCTTCTTCCACTCTGTGAATTCTGCTTTTGTGGTCAGCTTCTTTTGGATAGCAAAGCTTGTCAAGTGAGAATTTTGCTTCCATTTTGGTTGCTGATGTTTTTCAACCTCTGGTGTTTTGCTTCTGTTTTGTTGTATTTTCCTCTTTTTCTCTTTGTTGGTTTCTCACCAACTAGCGCTCGGTGCTTTTTAGCCCCAAGCTCCTCTTTATTGATGTAATCTTCATACCTTGTATGTTTCATCAATAAAGATTTTCTTTGCCGATCAAAAAAAATAATAACTTAAATAAATCAAAAATTCGATTAACTAGAAGCAAGGAGAGAGATATTTTTAACTTCTGATTTTTTATTAACAGTTTTCAATTTGAGAAAAATTATATCAAATAGACTTTATGTTGTGAGATTCTTGCCTATTCTTACAATTGAAAGTATATTTGAACAGAAAAGCACAAAAATTTGAGCACACCGGCCGAAACTAAGCGAAGGGCATGTTTTATCATTCATGTTCATGTAATGTGGCAAACATTTTACATGTTGTGGTGTGTCTTAATAAATCACTAGTTTACTAGTTTTGGATTGCTTGTTAATGACCTTAGATTCAAAACTTGCCTATATATTATAATACATTTGTAACCTTACTAAAAAGAGCTTGATTATGTAATCCTGTCTAAAAATTTCATTTTTGAAGAACCTACAATAATAGTGATGGTGGGTATTGCCAATTGCCACTCTACTTTTTTTCTTTTTTTTTTCTTTTTTCCCTAGTGGATCTGGATCTGAAAATGAATGGAAAAAATAAATAAATAAATTTGTTGGTTGATGATGATATGTTGATGATTATGATGATGATGTTGATGAAGACGTTGTTGATGATGATGATGTGTTGATGAAGATGTTGTTGATTTTTTTTTTTTTTTTTTCTAGTGGATCTAGATCTGAAGATGAAGAGGGAAAAAAAATTTGTTGGTTGTTGATGATGTGTTGATGATGATGATGATGTTGATGAAAATGTTGTTGTTGATGATGATGATGGTGTGTTGATGAATGTGTTCACCATCTGCTTCCTCTTCTCTTTTCTTCTACTTCTTCTTCTTCTTCTTCAGCTTCATCTTCAAAACAGCAAGAAAGAAAGAAGGAAAAAAAAAAAATTCCAATACGAAGGCGTTTTGGATTCGGGCCAATTTCGAGTTCAGAAATTTTGAGCTACATAGCGGAACCGTTCAAATTAAAAATCAAAGTGTGTCGTTGTAAGTAACATAAATAGGAGAATAATTAATGATGGATCTAAAGAGGGATAAGGGTGTTAATTGACCCTTGCAATTTGAAAATTGCCTTTCTAATAATAGTGTTAGTTATTAATAATCTCTAAATTATATAAACTTGCTCCTATAAATTTTTTTATTTTTATTTTTGAAAGCTTTAAGTCACCACCTCTTTAAGTTTTAAAGAAAATTTCAAGGATGCCTCTCTATATCTATGAAACATGAAGGTTGAAATATTAAATTATAAAAACTTAGACAAAATATAAAGTTATGGCTTCTCTCTAATCCTCCATTAAACTGGAGAGATGTTGTTAGGCTTTGTGGGTCCACTTTTGTATCCCGTTTTGATAATTCAAACCGTTTACATTTTAGAATAACAACAACCATGTGTTTGAATCAGTTTTGTATGGAAAAAAATTGACGATAAGAAAATAAACGGTTCATATAAAATTGATTTGAATATGTGATTTCCGTTATCCAATCGACTTGATTTTTTACAAGAATAATATACTCGATGAATCTTAAAATGGGAATGATTTAGATCATCAAAATGAGACCCAAAAGTGAGCCAATTAGACCGGACTGGATTGTCTAGTCCAATTATGGATTGTAGACACTCCAATCCCAAATATAACTATTTTTTTCCCCCCCATATTTAGTGTTAATTACAAACCCTAACCTATAAAGAAGATAAGAGATAAGATGGACGAAGAGTTAACAAGTTACTTGATCAAATTTATTAAAAAGATATTGTTTGAAATTCTCATGTCACTTATATTATAGATGTATTTAATAACATAAAAGAACGTTGAATATAATTGAAAATGCCTTATTTTAATAGATAAATTATCTTATAATTGCTATCTTTCAAGACTTAACGTTAATATTAAAATATATGTTTTTCAGAAATGTTTGGGACCCCCTTTTTTGGGGGTTTTATTATCCCTGATTTGATCTTGGCCCTTGATGTGTGTGTGGAGTCCACTCATGTATGTGTGGACCTTACATTATGAGTAGTTGGAATGAGAGTGGGGGTTGTGGAGGTCATGTATGTGTGGGGGTCTCTATCACAATTGATATGTTTATTTATATATATTTTTATTTTATTTTTTTCAGTTTTTATATCATTATAAATTTAGGGAACAACTTGCCTCCAGTCCTTAATCGGACTGGACAATGATGTTCGGCCCGTGGGGGCCCACCAAAGCTCCCGTTTTGATAATTCGAACCATTCAATGTGTAGAACTCGTCAAGTACTATATGGCTGTAAAAAATCACATTGATCGGATATCGATAGCTATGTGATCAAATCAATTTTGTATATATTAAAAAAAATAGACGGTGAACAAATTAACTGTTGAAAAAAAAAAACTGATAAGATGAGATAGCTATCGATATCCGATCAACGTAATTTTTTAGAGATATATAGTACTCGACGAGTTCTACACATTGAACGGTTAGGATTATCAAAACGGGACCCGTGGTGAGCCTCCACAGGCCGAACAACACCGTCCAGTCCGATTAAGGACTAGAGGCAAGCTGCTTCCTAAATTAATGTCATACTATATATATATATATGTTGGCTCCTATTTAGAGTTAGAGGTGACCATACAAATCGAAAAAATTACAAATCGATCTGATCTAAATTAAATCGTTTAATTTGATTTGGTTCCGCTATAACAAAAAACATTTTTGGCGACGTTTTTTAGCAACCAAACTGAAATTAGTCGCCAATTGTATATAATCGGCAACAATATACCTGTTGGTCGCCAAAAAATAAACTATTGGCGACGAGTTGAGATTTGTAGTCGCCAAAAGGTTTGGCACCAACCTAAATTTCTGCTCGGGAGTGCCAAAAATGTTGTCGCGACCAAATTAATATATAGCGACGAAAAGTTTGGTCGCCGATTGTAATTTTTGGCTACAGAAATAAAATAGTCGTGGAAAAGGTGAACAATACTTATGGAGACCGAAGGATTTTAGTTGCCAATAAATTAACTGTCGAAACTACGTCGTTTTGCATTTTCTCCTTTTTTTTTTAGAGACTTGACCGACCCTTTTGGTGAATAAACGAATAAGACCTAAGC